GAATGAATAACTGAGAAATTTTCAAAGTACTCTTAAGGTACTCTGTATTCGACTGGAGTACTACTTCGAAGTACCGTTCATTCACAGTGACCTCTGATTTGTTTGTGACCAAAACGCCAGAAGGCTACGTGTCGATAGGTCGCACTAGCGATGCGTCTTGATCAGCGACAGTCATTATCAATTTGGCGATCTATCAAAAATCATATGCAAAGCTGAAAAGGATTTAGAAGAGCGCAATTTTCAAACGGTTGGTGAGGGGAGTCAGCCGTCGGCAGTGAATCATCTCGTTACACGCCTTGTTACATCAGCACCAAGAAGCTTGGTATAGATTTACACATCGCGTCCCCTTAAGACTCGGTTCATCACCGGGTGACAGTGATCGATTTTCTCACCGGATGCTAATGCGGTTTTAAACGTGGGAATTTTGTTAAGAAACACTGAGTAGCGGTTGTCGAGTGACTGAAGTAAGAGAAAAGCCGCTGAAGAAGCAACCGTAGCCGATTTTGACTCAAAATCAAACTTTCAAGCCCCAGTGGAGGTTCTTCTTCATTTCTAGAGAATACTCTAAGTCGAAGATCCGCATTCAGGCCAATCTTGCAGTGCTACCTGAGTGTCGCTGCTGAAACAGCCCATATACGGCTCTGATCACTAAATCAATATTTTTTCTCACATCGATTGAGGTCAGCCGGTTAATGGAAGGGCTAAATAAAATGTCAGGGCAGTCAAACATCCTCCAACGGGTAACTTCTTCCTGATGAGAAAACGATTCCCACGAGAAATTATTCCGTAATGCCTGAATAATAAGTGTTAGCGCTTTCTGGTTCCAAACTGTCATCAAGTCGGTGCATTCAATCTGAATACTTCGCCATTCGAATTAACACATCAAATTCGCCTACTTCAACTGATGCGTTACTTGAACCCTTTGAAATGGCAGCTTTCAAGATTCATTCAACTTTATCCATTCAACTTTTAAATATGTTCTGCTGTCGTAGAGATCTGCATCAGCAGTGGCCTGCATAAAACTTGGGGGATTCGCGTTATTCTTCTTCTCATTTTCATTCTTCTTATTTGACAACAGCTTCGAGAAACTTTGCAAAAACAAAGCAGTGAACGACAGCACCGTCCATTCAAAGAGTCACTCAATAGAACAAGTGATTAGTTATGCTCTCTTTACTGCATACCCAGCTTCATGACCATCGCCGTATATTCGCAATTGGGGAACTTTTAGAGTTGTCACAACTGCCTGATAGCTGTGAGAAGTAACCCCTGTGACATTTGCTGAATGAAATTGTACCTTTATTTTGATACCTTACACGTGGGACTGCCTTTCGTTTATTTTGCCTTTAGACTTACCTACTACCTGAGGATCAATTATTACAGCATGTAAAGAGTGCCCTCGCTTGTGACAAAAGGCCAGATTGCAGTACGAACAGTAAATGATTAATTGAACAAAGGCTTGTTTGTATGTCAGGAAGAGTTATGGCATATTACCTTCCCTATGGCAACGAGTATAGCCATGAAGTTTTATCGCGCACTTCACAAACTTAAGCTATTGGTGATATAGTGACCGGGAACAGCCGATCAACTTATGTCTGCGACATCAGTCGGTGTGGAAAATGCATAAGTCAACCGTAACCTGTCTTACGGGGCTTCAAACCACGATCTGCATTCAAATTTTGGAAAGTATTATTAAATTTTTATATAGTCGTGAACCTTATAAATTTTTAACAGAGGGCAACATTCGTGGGATCCCTGTGACCATCTTCCGTCAGGAGAAAGATGCACAATTAAAATGCTCCGCCATGCATTTGTTGGGGATTAATGGAGAGGGGGCCCTAAATTCTTCTGACCGCATTAGTAATTGCAGTATTTATCTCGTAGAGATCCGTTGTAAGACATAAGGCGAACTATTCCATCCTCTGACTTCAAATCCTTTCGTAGCCTGCCATTCAGAGGTTCATTACAGGTGTCTATGGCTAAGAAAAACCCTTCATAGTATTTCACCCTGTCAGGCGATTGTTAATTTGGTCACCGGTCGCTCTTCGCAGCATGAGGCTTAAATTGATTAGTCCAGTGCAAGACTCAAAGAGTTTAAAGCACTTTTAGTTGAGGACGAAAAATAATGTATGATTTCTAACTTTTCGAAAGCTGAGGAAACCGGCTTTGATTTGTTTATCCTTGGCACTACTTTCACTATCAAAAAGCATTGCTGAGGAAAGCTGCTCGCGATTGATAGGTTTATTTCAATTTAATTTATTGATCCAACAGCATCCGTCAATGAGTTTGGATTTCTTTTTACAAATGTCAGCTGCTAAAAATTCGTAGAAATTTTTTTTAAATATTTTTTCTATGCTGTAAAAAATGTACGATTATATTTTATGAGATAAAAACACATGAAAGATTTAAGAACTCAAACTGAAACCATCTACCTGTTAATAACTGTTTCAGATTAAATTTTTAGATAAAAAAATGCAAAGTGCAAAACATTTGTTAGCAAAATGTAAACATTTATTCAGTATGTATAACTGTCACTGAAATTTTCCTTTCTACCTGATCAATTTGTTGTTGTGGCTGCTTTCTGAGAGATCGCAATTACGATGGTTTGGACAAGTGATCAACCTGCTAGTTGAGTGACTTTTAAGATGGAAGGACTCTCTTCTCATTGATTGGCAAAGCGCCAGGTGGCTGAAATCATGGAACGCTTAATTTTGCTGGTTTTCACATCCTGTTCTTTGAGGAAACCTCAGATCTATAACCAAAGATGAATCGCAGATGATTGTGATAGAAAGACAGAAATTTTTCACTTTTAATAATAATTTGACTAAACTTTAGTGCTCAGGGCAATGGCCAGTTTTGACCATTAATGTATGCTTATTAATATATTTTGCGGCAGCGGAAGTGAAAAGTGACAGACGTGTTTGAGTGATTAATCGAGAAAAACTTGTGTTGAAGTGAGGGCTTGAAAGTGGTACTGAAGCGTTCTGTTAGGTTGAGATAGTATTTGCTGGCCAGTTGCCAATAATAGTTTCTTTCCTCGACCGAAACCTCACAAAGTGCTCCATTTCTCTGAATCGGTCGAACTGCACGAAGGTCGGAAAAGCGTTCGCCAGGGGTTGCACTCCGCATGAACTGACAAAAAATTGTTCGCCAAAATAGGCTCAAAAATGCACAAGGGTCGACTTGAGTTTGTATTACTCCCAAGAGGAGGACAAATCATATGAAGGTAGTTATGTGGAAGGTGTAACCATTTTTTGCCCTCATTTATATAGATTGATGGAGATTGCTCGTCTTATGTAGTCATCCTCACTTTTAGCCGGTTTGCGAAACTACGAAGAGTTACAGATCCATGATTTCGCTCATCTCGACATGGCAGATTTGCATATCAGCTCTGGTTATCCGTACTTATTAAAAGTGTAAGAGTCAGGTAAACAAGTCAACTTAACGATTCGCAGTGTGGTGCATTGGTGTCTTCCAGAAGAAGCAGGAAATCAACGAATGAGCAGTGCTTGACACTTTAGTCCCGATACAAATATTCAACAAGAAGCTGAGGTTTAGGGTTATCACTCCTTTTTCTCATTACTTGCTTCTTCTTCTTCGTTTTTTTTCTTTCTCATTGTCGTATTTTTTTCTCTCCTCATTTTCGTCTTATTTTCTTCTTTTCCCTTCTTTTTTTCTTCTTCGTAACTCCATAGATTTATTTGTGTATATTTACATTTTAAACGTTTCAATACAATTGAAGTAATACATGTAAGTAACAAGTGACCTAAGTTTTTAGGCAGTTGAGGTCATTGAGGTAGTGTCATCCTTCGTACTACGACGTTTTGGAAAACTTATGATGCCCCTGTTAACAAATTGCCTATTTTTGATGTTTTCACGAATATGTAAACCGAGCAGCTCCTTAATTCTCAGCGAAGGTTCACGACGAAACACTTCTCTGGCTAATGAAATGACCTAGCCTGCAGCTCTGCATCGCAGAAACTCAGATGCATCGGTGCCATGGCTTCCTCTTTAAACTGTTCCCTTGGCACATAGAAGCAAAGAATTGGCGCATGACTCAGCATTTACCGGGATTTGGAGGAGTTATTCACTTACTTACAAGGCCGATGTATTCAATGGTTGTAAATAGAGGTAAATACTGATGCAGAGCCTCATTGCACTCTCCTTGGGTAAATGCTTTGGTTTAATTTTAAACTTTAAACCAGCTAATAACTTTCTTCGCGCCATTCGGGATAGTGATGACGTGGAATTGCTGTCGGTTATTCATTAGCAGGTTACGGTGTCACGTGTCCGGCTGCTGTACCTTGCAAGGTCTACGATAGGTATCCATTAGCGTACACAAAGGGGCATACAATATTCGCGCCTCTCAGATGTTGTCCGATAAGCAAGTAATTAATAGCTGAGTGAGGCAGGGCAAAGTCGGTACGACGAAAGTGTTCGCCTCAGACGAGGCTTTGGCTCAAGCGCGTTCGCACAAGTAGTAATTAGGCACGTGGTCGACTGGTTGTCGATTATTGACCATTACAGTTGCCCGTTGACCGCTGGTCATATGAGTGCAAGCGAGGAGCTGCTGAGAGGGGGAGACGGCTGAGCGGTGGTGGCGGCCAGCCAGCGTTGAGCCGCGTCGATGCTGGTTGGCCGAATGATACTGTTGCTGTGAACGGTCGCCGGATTTGGTGGATGGACATCTGCCGAGGGCAGTTAGCGAAGTGACCTGCAGTTGGGCTTTGAATCAGGACGAGGACCGGAACGATCGAAAGCGCGGCAGCTGGCAAGTCGGGTGAGGTGGATGGTCGCCAGCCAGCCAGCCAGCCCAGCCGTCGACCTGCCAGTCAGCCAGCCAGCCAGCCCACGCCGTTGGACCCTCGGACTCGGCTGAACTTTCGCCTTCGCCGTAATCACCGTCGCCTGGCCAGCGAGAGTCGCCTCGCTTCCGCCGAAGCCGTCGAGAGTTTATCGGCGCCCGGGGACAACAGTCGTCCATTGAGGCGCGTCCGCTGCCGGCCAAATTTCACTTTCGCCCCCCTAATTTGTACGCCGGCGCCGCATGGCTGTTTACGGCTCTACGGTTCCGCTATCGCACAGATGGTCGACATTTACATGAGGGCATCGTTTTTGAAAATTAGAGGTCACTTTCATGATGGCATCACTTGCACGACAAACCAGTAAGCCGATAAGTAAACCAGAATTGTCTTTCACATAAATAAATGATTTTATCACATGTGGCCATAAATCTTGCGACAGTGACTGTATTTGCAGAGGTGAAACCTTCTAACTTTTCCTGCACTGATCGATCATGTGACCGCTCCTCAACTTTGTCAGAAGCCGTTTCTTTTCATGGCTGGCCATATGAAGCTTGCAGGATTTTTTAACTCTTAAATCGGGATGTCTAACGTCACTCAGTCAACTCACATTTCATCAGTAGTTTGTGAGAGGAATCTTTGGCGGCACGAATCAAATGCGGTAATAAGGAGTTCATTAGATTAAGGTAACCATTTATAGAATAATTTCAACCGGGTTCAAGGAGCTACTCTAATCTGTGTACTGTACCTTCTTTAGGTACATGCATTCCTTGTTCCCATCGATACAAGGACAACAGTTTATCTGTTCATCTGGTAAATAACACTGAAAGGCTGAGTACTCCTTAACTCAAAGTCGATTCTTCTGCATATAGCCAGTACCATCTAAAGCGGTAATCCGTTCATACTGGTGTGGACTGAAATTAATCCATAACGGTATGGGCTGAAACTCACTTGATTTTCATTCCAATGTTTGGTTTTTGCCGCATTGCTGCCGAAGTCTCAGCTGACATCAAAGCCACAACGTAAACTCTAACAAGCACATGACACTGCTGAGGTTTAGGTACTGAAGTTAATTGTACAGTAATCCAACAAAATTGTGGTATTGCCGACTTGGATTGAACCGCAAATCAGTTCCGTCCATACGGATTACTGTATGAACGGTAATATGGCGATTGGGGATCATCAGGTGGATTTTATAAGTCATGGCTAACACAAATGACGGACACTGTGATAAGATTTTCATCATCCCTGTCTGACCGTTCAGAGGTACGTTGCCGGTCAGTCAAACAATTTCTCATCAGCGTTCAGAGGCAGCTGGAAGAGAAGGAACGGCAGATTACAAATGACTTATACATGAGACACTGAAAGCGTAAAGGCATTTGTTTTCTTAATCGATTTTTATTATCTTCTACTATTTGTAAAATGCTTGCTTGTAACGAGATCAGTTTATACCGATGACAGCCGCCTTTCCTGGAGCTAATAAACTTGGTGATTGATTGGAACATTTTCCGTTTCAAGTTTAGTTCATACCCTTTGTTTCTGTTTGGAGAGTAGGCCTGACATGACGCATTGGGTCCTCTTATGGAAGTGCTTAAGAACAAAGTCTTACTGTGCTAATTTTTCATATTTTTTTTAGATAAAATTCCTTTTCACTGGCGTCACCATCTCTTATTAGTTATCTCGTGAGTCAGCTGCTTTGGACCTTATTGCAGAACACCGTCACTCAGTTCCTCATCTAATATATAACGTAATTTACTCTTTCCAGGATGCGGAGAGGGCTTTGGAACTCACTCCTTTTGCGTTCTTACGCTACATAGACTTGAACGGTACTTTTTCCGATTGTTTGTTTTGCTTGGTTTATTAGCATCATCGTTAGCCGCGTAGTCAAACCACAGACAGCTTCCGATTCACGTCGAGGGGTGCATTTCTTTGTCAGAAATTTGTTCTTCTCTGCGGTTGAAGATCTTTCATCGCACAGCTAAATTGGCAGAAAATGAAGCCTGTTTGAACTATTGCTTTTTGCCTAATTATTATTAAAGTGCATTTTAAAGCTAGTCTAGATCTTAGATGTTGCAAGCCATTGCACTATGAAACGTACAAACTATTGCTATGTTTGGTAAAACTAATGTTTGTAAATATTTAAGCACTCCTAGCATCTTTTGTAGCGATCAAAGTGTTCTCCGGGGCACATTTTCAGGGGATCTAAAGGCCGGGGAACGGTTTAGAATTTGTAAAAATTTGAGAGTACCAAACAAACTTTTTAAATTCTTATTTTTAGTTTAAAAACCATGATCGTGTTTTTTTTGGAGCAAGCGTTAAGTTATTGGCATAAAACCAGAAGCTTATCAACTTCTACATGGTTTCCTCATTATGATAATGATTGAATGTTATTAAGTAGCTTTACCAATGTTTTCACTGAATGGACATTGGTCATTAACAGTATCAAGAAAAGATTTTCGATGGCCCTGGGAATAAATTGAGGTGACAAAAAATCTAAAAGACAATGTATAAGGAATTATAATTGAAATAGTTTGAAATGGAATCATTGAGTGCGCATCGATTTTGAATCTGGAGCAGAGCTAGGAATAGATTAGCCTCTTAGGTCGTCGAAAAAAATGGAGGTTCGTTGGAACGTGGATCTTCGTCACAGTCTTATGTGGAGCCATTTCTGGCAGCCTTCCTATCATGAAGTTAACGGTGGGACGGTGATGTCAATTTTCTTGCCATTAGCCAGGATTGCCTTATTTTAAAAGCATAATCTACAGTCGCCATGTCGCAATCAAAGTGGGTATTCTCTCGTCCTTCCGACTGAGTGGCACTCATTTTTCAGTCTCTGACGGTAGGAAGGCGCATCTGTTCTGAGTCAAATTTTCGCCTTGTATTGTAAAGCTGTGGAACCATCTGTGGGAATGATCAAAGTGAATGAAATTGACCCTAAATCCTAGACGGTCCCGGGTTTGCGACTTCTTTGAGAGGTTGCGATTAGATGGATGGGGCCCAAAGAGCGCCAACATTCAACGGTTTAGACAACGATTGATAATAAACAAGGCAGAAAGTTATTAAATAGCATTGTGATGAAACATTCAGAACTGACAGGACATCGATCATAATCAAGATATTTTGGTTCTATGTTGCACCAATGTTGTCTATTTAGTCCTGTTGATTTTTACTGAAGACCAGTAGCCATTGTGGAACTGTTTGATCAAGTTGTTAGATTCAACATCACCCTCCTTTTGGTCGTAGTTTTGATTCAATAAATCAGTATTTCTTAAACCACAGTGTTAATCCCAAATTTTAACAAATAGATTAAGATTAGAAACAAGTTTCCAAATGACAATGTTCGCATTTGATAAGCGACAAATTCCAGAAATTGTCGACAGACACAGTGCTATAGTATAGTTATACTTATAGTTATAGTAGATTATAGTAGACTTGTTCACAGAGCATGCCAGAGTGCAGGGCTAAGCATAAACGCAAACTGGTTGTAAACTGCTGGCAAATTGTGATTGATGATTGAAGCAAAGTTTTTAACTGCTGTGATATCAACCAGCCTAGCATTTTCGTGAATGGATGCCATTGCTTTCATAACGTTTCTCTTTCACCTCTGCCGTCAGCCACCACGACTGCCTTGTTTTAAAGGCAGGGTCTACAACCATGCGGAAATTGTAACGTCGTATGGTCTCCTGTTTCCTTCCAACAGAGTGGTACTCATTTATCAACCTTGGAAGGAAAAGCGTTTGTGAGTAACCTGACTGGAACTTGAATCTGGGACTTCACGGTTCTGAGTTCAACACTCATTGGACTGAGCAACCTCTGGTCCGTAAATTGCAGTACTTAGCATTTGTGCCGTAGAAGAGAAGTACTGGAAACTACTGAATTACTGCTACTCATAACAGAACGTTCATCTGTCATCATTGTTCAGAAAGGAAGCTCAGGTTAACCTCAGTCGGTGTCTTTCAACTTGCTTCCTTTTGGTTGCCATAACGACCGTTCGACTTATCTCGCGAAGCTTCTCTGTGTGTTAACTAACACCTGCTCACGGCTCACGGAGACAGTTTCAGCTGTTTCGTGCAGCTGGTCGCAACTTTGACTCCCCTAAACTAATTATGAATGGAATTTGTCTGCTGTAGGATATGAGCGCTAGCCGGTAAATGTTTTGAAATGATGTTTAATTATTAAAAAAATTTTTCACAATCTTAGGAATAGTCGATTTAGCTTTCAACTGTCGAAAATGCACCGAGGCAGTTCAAAAAAGTACCCCTGATGGCATGACTTGGTAAACATCAAATGTTGGCCAATGGCTTATCGGTCATCTTCTGCTACCCATCTCCTGGCAAACTCTGCCTCATCGTTGAATCGTAAGCTTAGAAGGAACGTGGTCTTACCTCAATATTTCAACGTTACCGTTAAAGCATATCTATAGGCAAATGCACTGCGCACATCACTAAACATTGCCACTCTTTCGCTTTCTCGTGTACGTTTTGTATCCGTATTTACCTGGGCAACTGTAATGAGGGTACAGAAGTAATCGCTACTCTGCTACCAGCATTGTTCGTTTTATAATTATTGAATACATCTGTTTTATAAGTGAATGACTCCTCCATATCTGAGTACTGCTGCATCAGGATTCCACACATGCACAAACACACATTGCTATATGTCGAAGAGACGGTTTAAAGAAGAGGCCACCACATCAAGATGTCTGCATATCTGGATATCTGCAGTGCGTAGGTGGACTTCGAGTGATTTTACAGACTATAGATAGGAATGTTTCGCTGATCGTCAATTGCAATTAAACAATGATGAAGAGACAGGCTGAACTCGGTGGCGGACACTTTGTGCGATGGGCAGCGTTTCTGGAGCTGGCTAAAGCAGTGATTTTGACAAAATGGCGATTTGAGTGTCACGGGGGTCATTCTGCTTTATACCCATGTAAAACATGAAACAGCTTTCGTACACTAAGGTATGTTAATTAGGGCAGAAATGACTCCTAATAAATTGGTTTCATCAATTGTGGCACTGTCCGCTTGACCATAGTTGCCTAGAAACCTATGGTTCGTCTTTTCTACGTATAACTTCGACTGTTTGAAATTTTGGAAATAAAAACAGTTCCAAATAAATCTATAGAGTTCATGAAGAAGGAATCGTGCATCTTTCGCGCGCCATCAACGACTATTACCTGTACCTAGTTTTTCACATGTTCTGTCAAAGAGAAAGGAAATACCGGGAAATTTTAACTGACTTCAGATTTTAGTATTTACAGTGACGAGTAAGAGTGATGTCCATCGATACTGCCAGTAACCTAGCACTTTTGTGTCTTTTTCCAGCCTCATAGTACCCTCCGTAGCCTCTATCAGGACGGACAATCTGGTCGGCTGCAACATGCAATCACTAGGCCACACATGAGCGTTGTTTCGTAGGTGGGATTTCGACCAGGCGAAGCAAGTGGCCATCATTAAGACAAAACAGTCGAATGAGTCATGTCATTGTCGAACCCTGGAAGTAGCCCGGCCGTGTGGTTCGATCCTAAAGCACTAGGCATGCGTACGTATGTGCGAATAACCGTTAAGTCCAGGACAGTGCTCGAGTTCTGAACAGCACCTCAGAGAAGTAGGGCTTTCTCTGTCTCCCTCACAGACAGAGAAGATTATCAATTGTAAGTATCGACGGGTATATTGGTATACGCTTCCGTTTCGAGACGTTCGCCAAACAACTACATTCCCGCATTTAGGTCTCGTTAGTGCTAACAAGTTATTGGCTTCACAGCTTAGCAGTTCTGCCAACTATCGACGATCGACGTTCATATAAGCGGAGCGGGGCTTTGCGTTGCCCGCTCGTTTTTTTCTCCACTTACCGTATTCGCGACGCGTTCAAGTACGCTGTGCTGTGCTACTGTCGCTTTCTGACCGGTGCCCAAGCTTTGGCACGGCACCAAAAACAGCAGCGGCGCGGAAGGACGAAAACCTGTGACCGACGTGATGACGGTAATTAAGAGGATTACGAGGGAGGGAAAATCGATCGACGTGGCCAGTGGCGCAAACAACTCCGCTTTCGCTGTCTTTCTCTCGATCCATGGCCAAGTTGCGCGTCGCATCATGACGCAAATGGACAGATCCTTTGACTACGCACACTCGACGCTTGACCACGCCGACGCTTATAATTAACGCCGACGATGTGGTCGTTTCCGTCAGGAAGTTTAATTTCTTTCGCCAGAGTTGTTAATTGAAAAATTATTGTTCGCTCTCACTTCTTGCATGCACTTGGTCCGTCCATCTGCCCCCAGCGCTCACGCGCCAAATAATACCCCCCGTTCCGGTGCTGACGGACAGATGTTCGGACGGCCATGCAAAGTCATCGGGTCATCGGACGCGTGCCGCACGGCACGACGACGACAAACTGCTGTCCAGCTGCTCCTTTGTGTCACTACAACAAACTTTTCGACCAAGTGGGTCTGAAGCATGCCCGACAATAGACTCACATCTGCCGCCCCTCCAGCGTTTCGACAGGCGTCAGTCGCGGCGGCCAATCGAATACCAGCGCGCCAAAACTTTCAGCCAATTAGCGTGACGTCCGCTCGCGATGGAGGTGGTCGTCCGGCAGAGCAGCGAATCAAAACTT